GGGGGGGGGGGTTTGCCGGGGGGTTGGGGGTAGGAACAGTCAATTTTACGAACGGGGCATCGGAGCGTCTCCGGGTCATCCCATGACATTGAGGTCCAATGTCACTTGAACCTTCCCCTATCAAATATGCATAAAAATAGATCCATAAAGTAGGACTTCAAAAAATATGATCAATAAAGTGGATACAATTTGACCTATACATAATCGACGTGAAAATTATTTTTGGTCGGAATAATTATTCTAGAGTTTGTAATTTATTTAGCTTCTCACATGATATTGTGTCCCTTACTCCCTTCAATAGATTCCTCCACATTGAGGTTTGGATGAGATAAAACGGGACACAAAAATATTTCTTCCTAAATTATATGTTTGGATGAGATAAGAAAATGATGAGAAATAAAATGATAAGAAGAAAAAATGAAAAGAAAATGGGAGAAAAATACTTGTTGTTTACATGACCAGAAAATTATGATAAAAGTGAAAGGAAAAATATATTTTAATATAAATTGTCATTGATATCATTTTTTTAATTGATCTCTCCCTCTCTTTTCTCATCCAAACATGAAAAAAGTTTCTTTAAAATATATTTTCTCAATCTTTCTTTATTTTTTCCTATCATTTTCCTTACATCCAAACAATAGCTAATATAAATCTCATAAAAATTAAAACAAGAAAATTTTTGTGGGACAGAAGAACAAATCTTAAAATATATTCGAGTCACAAACAAAAGTAACACAAATACCATAAACATGCTTTATATTATGAAACTTATTAAATGAATCAAATACTTTCAAATAATTCTAAAGTAAAAAATGTAAGTTTAAAAATAGTGAGTTTGTGAAATGCACATGTACTATACCCTGGCATAATTTTTATTTCTGACTCTAGTTAGGTCCTATTTGAAATCAAAGTTAGAGGTTAGCATTAGCACTTTGGAAATATTATTTGATGGTCGCATTTAGCGTGAGCCTTTTGCTGTTTTCATAAATTAAGCTACACTATTAAAATTTTATCTAAAATTTTAAGTCTAAGAAATACTCCCTCCATTACATAAAACACTTCCTCATTCAATTTTTTATTTTTCCTAAAACACTTCCATCCACAAAATTTTTAAAAAACTACTTTTACCTTTATTTTTTCATATCATACTTATCACATCATATTTTTTCACTAATAGTCTATCAATCATATCTTACTTTTACTCATAACATCAATGACAAAACTGCAAAGTCAACCACAAATATACACTTCTCAGGCCATGGGGTGTGCTTAATGGCTTCTCCTTTTCCCTTCTTCCAACTCTGCGTCACGTCAGCTTTTACTTTTCTTTCCCTTTCTCCTTTTTTTAGGGAAATGTCTTTCTCTTTTCCCCTTCACTTCTTTCTATTTTATAACATTTATTTTAATTTATATAATTAAGATTTATATTTATATACCTTTCTAATCTCGTTGCAAGATTGGTTTTCTTTTTCTTGGCGCCGAAGTAGTACCGATTTTGGCATAATCGAATAAAGTTTTTACCGACTCCATGATAATGTTTATGAAAAATGTTTCTGCTTCGTCGGAAGATGACGGAGTAGAAGAATTTGACATCGAATCTGATGAATGAGACAATATTGTGGCGTGAAATGTTTAAAAGAAATATGAAAAGTAGAGAAATAGTGTTTAAAAAAATGCATGGGAAGTGTGTGAAAAATATGAGTTGAGTGTTGTGTTTAAATAGTGAGAATTTTGAAAAATTTTCAGTTTTTTAAACCAACTAATGGCTAATTTTCAAAAAAGAAAAAACAATGGATCGTTGCCAATGAAAAGAACGAGGAGAGAACTCCGCCTTTCCCGTTCCTGCTGAGGGGGCAGTGTTCCCGCCCCAATCCAATCCTACTCAGCACACCTGACGGCCTTATTTATTTAGGGAATGTACGTAAATCGCACTAAAACATAATGATTTTTCCTAAATAGCATCACATGTGTGTGTTTTTCCAGTGTAGCACTTTTAGTCATTTTCCATTAGTCATTATTCAAGTAAATGTTTAACATCACTAGACATTATAGACATTATTAAGTGCTATTTAGAAAATAAAACAGTTTAAGTGCTATTTATGAAAATTACTTAAGTTTTAGTGATATTTAGTGCAAATATTTCTATTTATTTCTATTAAAAGTCAAAAAAGAAACTACTCCGTATTTTATGAAAGGGATGGAATAATATTGTTCTCAAACAAAGTCTTAG